TTCGCAAAAAAGCTTGTTATCGCTACTCCTCCGAAACCATAAACCGTAGAGAAATGAAACCTTCACTAATGTCTTTGACTAATTTAGTAGACACTTTATTGATTCATTGCGAAATTATTCATTGACCCCTTCAATAAGTTATTGCCCCTGGAAGTTTTAGAAATTTACAAATAATTAAAAATTTTCAAAACGAGAAGACGTAGAAACATGGGACCAACTTCATAAGATTCTTTGACCTTTGACCTTAAAATTCATTTTAAGGTCAGAGGTCAAGGTCATTCCAAAACTGAGAAATTTAGCTCTTTTTATATCTCTTTTGTCTTTTAACATATACTTAATGTCTATGCATCATTAATTTGTACTTTTAAAACTGTTTCAAAGATTTTATTCTTGTCCCCTAACATGAACCCATTTAAAAGTTATTGCCCCTTGTGCGAAAAACCTTGTTATCGCTACTCCTTAGAAACCGTAGACTGTAGAGACACCAAACCTTTACTATTGTGTTAAGGGTCTTTAGACCTAACTTCACTGTATAGGTGCAAAAGAATCTGATGACCCCTTGTATGAGTTATTGCCCTTTAACTTCTTTATACTTACTATTAAACCTTGTATCTTGAAAACTATAAATGGTAGAAGCATGGGGCCAACTGCATTGTTACCCATGACCATTGACCTTGAATATTTTGTCAAGGTCAAAGGTCAAGGTCATTGCAAAAATGAGAAATTAAGCTCTTTTTATATATCCTTTGTCTTTTTAACATATGCAATCAGTCTTTGCATCATTAATATGTACACTTAAAACTATTTAAAAGATTTCATTCTTGTTCCCCAAGATAGACTCTATCAAAAGTTATTGCCCCTTATGCAAAAAACATTGTTATCACTACTACTTCAAAACTGTAGACCGTAGAGGCATGAAACCTTCACTTATGTCTTAAGGGTCTTTAGGCACACCTTCATAGTATAAGTACTAAAGGATCTAATGACCCCTTATATGAGTTATTGCCCTTTAATTTCTTTAACTTACTATTAAACCTTATATCTTGAAAACTATAAATGGTAGAAGCATGGGGTTAATTGCAATGTGTCCTTTGACCTTTGACCTTGAAAATTTTTTCAAGGTCAAAGGTCAAGGTCTTTTAAAAAAAATTTTTTTTTTTTTTTTAATTTTTTTTTTTTTTTTTAAGCCATTTCCCTTAAAATTAAATTTAGAGTGTAAAATATAAAACTATAAGAAATTTAAAAAGGTGGAAAACCTCTTATTGTTCTATGAACAATAAGTCTCCTAGTTTAAATTTTTTTCCAAAAAAAAAATAAATTGTCACTGACTACTAAAACTTTAAATACTTCTCCTATGAAATAGGTGCACAATGACAATAAGTAACTTTACAAATTGAACATAATTTGGCTATTTAATATCAAAGAATGATCACAGTTTCAAACACTCATCTTTTCTCTTTCAACTCCAGTAAAATTTAAGAGGAGGTCCAAGCCTTTAGGCTGAAATGATTAATCGATTATAATAATAAAGATTCTGTGTGAGGATTAAGTACACATATATCGATCAATATGTATGTAAAAATATTTAAATATCGCAAAAAGAATAAGGCATTTTTTTGTTTAAACTTATATTTTGTGTTAATTATATACGATAAACATATTTTAAAATCAAAATTTTTATAAAAAATACATACTAGTAATAATTCTACCACTTATATAAAATAATTTTGTTTTACAGCGGATATACCATGTACACAGCTTATTCTTTGAAATCAAATGAAAATTATTCATAAATAATTGTGAAGAAATGATTTGTTCTTAAAATTTTTATGCCTTAGATGAAATCTCAAGCGTATATTATTTATGTCCTGTCTGTTTATCTGTTCAGCTGTTTATCTGTCTGTCTATTTTTAAATTTTGAACATTCGCCTTAATTTTTTAACTCTGAGAGGTATAGACTTGATATTTGGCAGGCGTACTCAATTTAAAAAGAGACACCAACTTCAATGACCTTGTGACCTTGACTGTGACCTACATGCTTAAAATAGTTTTTGAACTTTCACTATAACTTTTGAATCAAAGGAGATGGAGACTTCATATTCGGTATGCATTTTCCACTAATAAAGTTCTTTCAAACGACATTGAAATCAATGACCTTATGACTTAGACTGTGACCTATATGCTAAAACAGTTTTTTTACCTTTGTTACCACCGGCCGCACAGTGTTTCACTAACACATCTTGTTCAATACAAAAAAAGACTTCCTGATCAACATGACCAATTCAAATATTTATCATTTGACTTTGTATTTAGCTCAAATATAAGGATAGATACATATCTGCTTTCTGAAAAAATTATATATCTGTTTACATGTATTTTTTAAGAGTTGACTTCTAGATTGGTTCAAAATTTAAAAAACTTTACACTGTACTACGTTTGAGTGGACTTGGTTATCAGTTGGTCAGGTTATATATGTACATTACCACATTTTTTAAGCATGAAGTTTCCCCCGCTTGATCAAAAAATTTCCTAATCTTAATCTTGATGCCTCAATCTTGATTGTGACGTCATATGACATTGTAAGTGAACATGGGTTTCTTTCCATCCCAATTAAAATATCAATTTACATTCATTCAACAGTGTTTCTTACACTGCGACTGGGTATCATGTAAATGAATGTTCTATCGTTAAAATGATATTGTCCTACAGACCCCGTTTAACGATAGAATTCGTTCCGTGTATTCGTAATGTAGCAGAAAGGAACACGTGCTATAACTTGCATAGTGCATTTACTAGGAACAATCTAGAGAGTTCTGAATGTAAACATGGCAGGTAATAAATTTGAATCGAGAGAAGAACATTGAGAAAATTAATTGGATTTTCATATTTAAATATGGATTATTTTTGGGGGATAAAGGAAAGCAATCTCAAGAAGGTTTGTTTTGATTATTTTGGATTTCCGGGATTCCCAATGCAAATCTTTTTATATTCTTCAAAATCATTTTGGAGCGGATCCGCTCTGATTTGCTGACGTTGCAAGTATATGGGAATATTCTAACTGTGGTGAGGGCCTGTACCGAGACACAGTTAGATCATTTAACTAGGTATCATGATCAAAGTAAAATATCTTACTTTGCTTTATTTGCAAATGGTCAATATTTTAATAAGCACAAAAACTGAAAACCCAAATTTTTTGCGACGACTTTATTTCGCGATTTACTGGGAGTAACGTAGTTCGCGACGATTAATTTTCGCGACCAAGCCTTTTTGGAACTGTTTTTAATAGAAAAAAAGAGGAAGACCATTCGCGGCGAGAAATATTCGCGATGACGAGGTCTGCGAATCTCGCGAAAATTTCCGCACGCGAATAAAAGTTGGTTTACAGTACTAATGATCAAGCTACAAAATATTCTTTCCATTTGACCACGGTCAGAATGGGAGAAGTTTGTAAATTTTGGCCGTGGTTGCAACAATGGGTTATGTATAATTTTACTTGATACTAAATTTTGGAATAAACTACAGAATATGCATCTGCAGATTTAAAAAAAAATTCATTCATTTTTTATTCAATTGTAAAAATTATTTAAAATCACATGGGTTTAACATGTTGAAATGCCTTAATCGCTCAGAATTTTGAGTTTTTAATTTTTTGTTACACTAAATCTGTTTCACATAATCTTTACTATTTTCATATAATCTTATTAAAAAAAAAAGCATTGTTTACATACCCTCTGAGTGGTTGCAGTGACTGTACTATATTATTTGGGTTTCCCTTTGGGTTACGACTTAATATTCCATTTAGGCTAAAGCATAATATTTTCCTTAAAACACAGGACACGCAATAAATTTTCATCTGGATTTGACATAAACTTCATCATGTTCATTGTCCATCACGTTTCCATGCTTACACGTTGCACACATTAGGTCTATTCCACCTACTGAAATTCATCACAAAAAAGGGTAGATCATCGCATTTTAACTGCAATCAATATCAAATAACTATGTAACGATAACTTCGCAAGATGAAGATTTTCTTCCAACTTCCACTATGTCGCCATTTTGATTTTTTACGATTGCAATACGACAAACGAAATTCGATAAAAATCGCTAATTTTTTGTAAAAACTAAAAACAGATAAAGGAAAGTCATTTAATACAAATTAAAAATAAAAATTACCCCAAAATTTATTTTTAATGGTTTAAAATAGCGATGCTGTTTTTTTAATTATCCACTTCCGGGAGGATAATCCCATTCCGGTAGCATTACAGCATTACCTAGTTTAAACCAGCATCAGGATAAGGATCAAACCAGGATCAGGATAAGGATAACTAGCATCAAAATCAGCAAGCAAAGGAAGCATCAAAATCAGCAAGCTGGAAGCACCAAAATCAGCATTGATGCTGTAACAAAATTATTTCCCTGCACTGTAGTGCGCCGTGAGATTTTTGGATTTTCCCCCCTATATCCAAGTCGTGACAAGTTCTTTTGCGGGCTTCTACGGTCTTTTACGGAATTCGTGATTGGCCGTAGGAAGAAGTTGCCGTCGAGTGCCGGAGGCTCCACGGCGCACTACGGTTCTGCCACGTATGCCGCACTTAAACCCCACGCGATACCCCTTCGTTTTTCCGGTTCTTATAAGTTTTTAACTTTTTAGTTTGTCAAACTTTCACATGAAAATGGAGCCCGGGAAAATATATCGTTTTTCCAAGAAGGTCTTAACCCGAAAAATATTGTATATGCCCTTCAAAAAAAACATCATGAATTCTCAAGACGAAGATTTTATTTTCGCGTGTTTGCTGGGTGCATACCTAAAATCACTTCGTCAAAATGAAGAGAACCAGCAGCAGTTACAGAGAGGGAAGGCAGGAGTGCAGCAACTAGGAATGAGACGAATAAGACGGATGAGAAGGCGGAGATCCATATGGGTTCAGAACTGGTTGTCCGAAGACAGAAGGCAACAGATGGGTCACTACTAAACATTTATGACCAGGGAACTCCGAATGGAAGATGTTAACTCATTCACAAACTACCTGAGGATGCCTCCAGATCTCTTCAACGAGATCCTGGAAAGAGTTACACCATACATACAGAGACGAGACACTAGGTTCCGCGCAGCCCTACCACCTGGTCTGAAGCTGTCAGTGTGTCTTAAGACATTTGGCCACTGGTGACAATTACTCGTCACTCCCGTACGCATTCAGGACCAGTAAAGCAGCCATATGCCATATGGTGCCAGAGGTGTGTAAGGCCATAGTGGCAGCCTACAAGGATGAAGCATTCGCCGTGCCTGTGACGCCTAATGAGTGGAGAGCCCTCGCCCGTGATTTTGAAGACAAGTGGAATGTTCCTCATGCAGTGGCAGCTCTAGACGGAAAACATATTGCTATTAGCAAGCCACCAAACACAGGCTCCATGTACCACAATTACAAAGGGTTTTTCAGTATCCCTCTCCTCGCCTTGGTGGATGCCCAGTATCGTTTCATATGGATCGAAGTACAGTGAAACCTGTCTTATCCGACAAGCCATGGGAAATAGAATTTATGTCGGATTAAACAGTGTGTCGGATTACTCAGTGTTGGCTATTTCTGTCACAATTTGTCAAGTATGGCATTAGATCCAACATTATCAGAAAAAGTACATGGTTGATCGTGGCCTCCATAATTATTTCATATGAAAGATTTTTACATGAAGATGTGATTTTATTTCAATAAATAATTAAATGGCATGGTACATTTCATTTACAGTTTCAGACAATAAACAATGCAACGTATAACGTTAGTTACAGTTCCTGAGGTTTAGTGAAAAAAGTGTCAATTGTTGTCTGTTTTTGTTAAGTCGCTGTTTCATTAAAGTCTCTTCTGTCAGAGTTGCAAGATACTGGATATGTATCTTTTGTCGGTGACCTGTCTTTCGGTGAGTTGTCTGGCACCGGAATGCTTTCGAAATATCGGGCGTCCTTAGCAATTGCAAAGAAAACTGCACATTATCGTCCCTGAATTATATAGGTGGCGCATGACACGTTTAAGTTCGTGACTTTTCGTTCTTCCAATTTTAGAGAGTGCCAACGTAATTTCGATCTTGTATACCTTGCTATTTTAATTAAATTTTAAAGATATATTGACCGATTATGGGTCGTGGGATTTATCCACGCTTAGAAAAGAGCTACGTAAACGAAACACTCGCATTTCCGGCCGCGAAAGAGAGTTGGTAATGAGAGGTAATATTTGCGGAAAACTTCTAAACCATAATTTTATCTGTTGAACACAGAATCGTGATTAAGACGTTATCGATACCTGATATTCTTTGTTATTTCAAAAAAAAAGTTCTCCAAAAGCATATTTTATGTGTCGTTAGTGAGATTAATTACAATTTAAACTGTCTACATTTTTTAATGCCAGTCTGAGTCAGTTTTTGACACACATTATTGTCAATCTGTATAAGGCGAAGCCAAATGCTATTTACGTTTTTTTTAATTTGAGTTTTGTTCATTTATTGTGTACATAAACAAAACACCTACAAACTTCAGCATGAATCACTGACTACATATTCAGATGATCAATTGACCAAACGGGACTTTAAAATCACAGTTTGCCCCCGAAGGCCAGCGGCTAATTTGGTATACCTACCTTGGGTTTAATTAACGAGCCGTGTAATTATGTCGGATAACACAGGGAAATTGCAATGCAATTAATAGGCTGTGTTTACAAAAAAGGTGTGGGAATTCGGAATGTACAGTGGTCGGATTGTAAAGTATTTTCTACATAAGTTATATAAAGATTTTTTTGGGAAAAAAGTTTTGCGTCGGAAGTGCCAGTGTGCCGGATTGCACAGTTGTGGATTGGACAGTGGGCACTGTAGGTGGAGTTGGACACATGTCCGATGCTCAAATCAAAGACTCGGAACTCAGTGAACTTTGAAACGGCCAAATAGGTTTCCTCCACCATGTCCCTGCCCAACGATGACCAGAACCAGGACATCCCTTACTTCATCCTAGGTGACGACGCATTCGCCTTACGAACTTACCTGATGAAGCCATAGGGGAGAAGAGCTATGCCAAAAGAACAACTTATCTTCAACTATCGGATCTCGCGTGGAAGACGAGTGGTTGAGTATGCGTTTGGTATCCTAGCAAAGCGCTTCAGATGCTTCCTTGGAACTTTGGAACAGAAACCAGATACAGGTTATTATCATTCTGTTACTGCGCCAGTGTTTAATGAATAGTTGCAATAACATGTACAATTCCTATATTTTTATGATAAAAGTGAAGAAATAGTTAGCTAATACTAATGATTATTTGAAATTACTAAATAAATTTCGTGCATGTATGATTAAATACATGTATGATTAAATAACCCTAACCCTAACCCTGATTAAATACATTTGGATTTCATCACAGTGCGAGACATCGTTGAGGCTGCTGTTGTTCTTCACAACCTCTTGAGAAGAAGGGCCCCGTCTTGTTAGTGAATGAGGTAGACCATGAAGATGAGGAACACAATCTGATCCCTGGAAACTGGAGAGATGATGTTCAATGGCAGGAAGTGGACGCACCACCAACGGGAAAGGGAACCGAGACACTCTGGATGCGAAACAACAATGGGAATTTTTGGGAAAAGAATTTAAATTTCCCCCTGCTGGTACTGTAGAGTGGAAAGACAGATTGATCACCCTCTTGTGATGGGCTGTTAATATAAACAAACACGACTCTTAATGTGAACAAAACATTCTTCCAAAGTGAAATGTTGTATATATTATGCAATAAATGGTTAAAATTGTTGAACTTGTTTTACTAAACAAAAACTAATGAGTACCTCCCTCATGTGGATATGGGTTTTTGTTATTTTTCGTAACTGTTCATTATTGTCTGTGTATTACACTTGTTGGCATTGTTTTGGCTTTTCAAAAGTTTTGGTTGAGCACTGCTGAAGAAGATTTTTTTTCCGGAAAGCGCATCTTACACCATTACATCAAAACTGATATCAATGTGTCTTACTGGGTATCACAGATTTAACTTAGATAAGGAGGGAGGTTTTGGTTTAATGTACGATTAACACATTAAGGTCATCTACGGACATCGCCATGCAGTGTTGGAATTGTGGGGTAACCGGAGTCCCCGGGAAATATCCGCATGGTAAGAGTAAACAACTAAGACAGACAAGTTTGCATGTATTTATTTTCTGAAAAATACAAACGATTCAGAAGAACTTTACGGGTTTTGGTCTGCTCTGGTCGTCGTCCTCGGGCTACGGATGTGATTCAGCAAGGAGGAGAAGGAATCTGAGGCAGAGGCGATCATTTGGTTAGGCGCGATGTTTGAACTTCGGTAGCTGGCGTCGATTGCTGTGATTGTTGTTGGTTTCCAGTCACGGGCCGTTGACATGCGATGTTCATATGAGGGAATCCTTTTTACCCACGGACGATCCATCGATCCAGAGATCAGGTGGGTTCGTCACCTCAACAGGCCACGGGGAGGGGGGTGGCTGCCATTGCTTGACCAGAGACTCACTTGGACGACTATAAAAACGCGGGGCTGGAGGTTCTCCGTACGAGGTACAGGGTCGCTGACGATTAGCTGGGCTAGGCTGTTGCAGTTGTACCGGTCGAAATTGCAGGCGGTCTGCTTCGTTCTGGGGCTCGTGTAAAATTGCCATTATTCTTGCTTCTGCTGTACGTCGGATATGTGTTGGAAGGCTGCGCAGACTTCCATTAACGTAGGAACCAAAGGCAGTAGTTGGAGCGCCTGACTCTGCCGATTCTCCCGGAAGGTTTCCAGGAGGGCCATCATGGGTTTTTCCTGGGGGTGTAGACAACGTATTTGCAAAGGTGGTGTAGGGGATCAGTTGGGTCGTCTTCCGAAGCTTCAGAAGAAGCCCCAACAGGGGGGGCTATAGTAGCATCAGCAGCAGGTTGAAGTCGGGGAGTGAAGCTCGCCACGGTCCTTCTGGGCACTGAGTGATGTGCTCTAACAGGAACTGGAAGCGCTGCCATATCCACCTGTTGACATAGAAAATGGATCTTTTGAAAATGCATGTGAATATATGTTTTAGTACAGTTTCAGTTTTTAGTAAGGTTGTCTTTGCGAATAATTTTAGTAGTAAAATCTTATAAAAGGGGTACAACTTACAGTTCGGTTGCAGTGAAGTGTTCTGCAGCTTGCCTGGACTTGGTGACTGCTTTCTTCAGCTTTCCGAGCTTGGTACGCAGCGTCGTACCAGGTCTTTAGTTCCATGGGCAACGTTCCATCTTTCTGCCTGCTCTGTCCACAGCCTGTCTTTCGCTGCCGAGTCCTTGTAACCAGCCAGTCTTTTGGAGTACAGTGTGGGATTTTGCTGTAGGAAGTCAATGATCAGCTCCTTCTCATCCTCCGAAAAAGAGGTGACAAGCCTGGGGGCTGCCCTCTTCCTCGTGGGTGCGTCTCCTTGGCTTCCTCCGACTCTTTAATTTTTTATCAGGTACCGGATCAACAGCTGCAACACGCTCCTATTCATTTGGCGGCGCTAAATCATTATAAGCATGTTCAGGCTGCTCCTCCTCAACTGGTAATTTTGGAAGACCGGCTGCTTTCCTACCTCTTTTCTTCGGTGGCATAGCTTGAGTTGTTAACTTCTCAGTTGTTCAGACTCGAATGAAACTTCTCTGCAGTGCCCGGCTTTTATATGCTTCCTCTCAGACCGCGTGCGCCGTGTCAGACCGTAGTAGAACGCAACGCACCGGGACCATAAACCGTAACATGCCGGGGCGAACCGCGATTGAAGCGAGGAAACGGCTACCATAACCCCAGTTTGCCGTGAGGACCGTGATGAAACGTGGCAGAACGTGATAAAACGGACAACAACCGTGAACTAGCCGTGACAGAACGCGGACTAAACTCAGCAAAACGTCTCAAAACGGAATGGACCGTGAGATGAATGGAAATATACATTCTCCCGTCCCACTACGGACTGCCTCCAAGTTCTGTTACGGTCTATTACGTGCTGTCGCGTTTTGTTGGTTTATTCCGTTTTATCACCCATAAGTTTCACATCTGCAAGTGGCCGCCGTGGCAAATTTTTTGACAGTTTAAAAAACTGGACGGCATCCACGGCAATGCGATGAGTTACATTTGCCCATCCCCTTGCCCCAAGTTTTCTCACGCCCGTCCCGTTTTTTCCACGGTGGCCTGAAACGTGATTGCCGTGGCTGCCGGGAACATAGTGTAAACATAGCATTAGCTATATACTCATGATTTTCATAAGTCTTTCTCTGTATGCTACAAATACCTTAAAAGAAAGACATGATTTTGACTCATTGTGTCGTTTTAAACTACTCTTGTGAAACTGCGCAATTATGTAAAGATAAAGATTGTGTACCTTATATATCTGTCTAAAATTTGAAATTAGAAAAATCACTAGTTGTACCTCCAAGATAAAACTTGGCTCATAAATGATTATAATGTAACTTCCAATACTTACCATTTTGATTAAAGTTGGTTCTCCAATATACACATAGAATTATCATCAGCA